ATAAGATGGGTGGATGCAGGGATGGGTGGTTGCAACTTGCAGGGATGGGTGGGTGCAGGGATGGGTGGGTGCAGGGATGGGTGGGTGCAGGGATGGGTGGGTGCAGGGATGGCTGGATGCACGGATGGGAGGGATGGGTGGGTTGCATGCATGCGTGCCCTGTATGTAAGTTGCCAACTATATGTGCCTCTCCACCCATCTTCACCGCTCTGCAGCCCTGCCCATAGGAACATTTTCCTTCCTTCCGCCTCCACCCCTTCCTACACCATGCATCTTCATACACCTTCAGTCCTCACATTGACACCTCTTCACCCCTCTCCACCCCTCTCCAGCCACTGGCACCTGGTGGACGCGCAGTCCTTCCCCATTGAAACGCCATCCTTCCCTCGACTCTGGGAGGGAGCCTTTTCCCAGGCAGAGCGATACACACTCAGGGACGCCAAACACGTCGTCAGGTGAATACTCAGGTGTTTCTCATCTTATGTGAAGCATCCCTTCAGGCGCACACAGGTATTGCAGAAGATAGCTAGCATACATTGTTTATTCTGTACGCCTGCACACTCTTTTCTGTACCAATATTCACTCCTCTTCACCCCTTTCCACTGCTCTGCACCTCTTGCCACCCACCAGATATGCAGCGGCACGTGGCATCGTGGTCATCCCTGAAATCGACACTCCCGCCCATGCCACCTCATGGTGAGATAGGAATAGTGAATCATTGTCCATGCCACCTGTCTCACCATGTCATTTCATGTGTTCAGTTCAAATCTTGGTGAATCCTGCCCATGCCATCTTGCCTTTTCAATCATTTACGACTGTGGATGTGTACATTGTATGATGCATTGCATCCTTCCAAAAAAAAAAAAAAAAAAAAAGCCTTCCCGAACCCCATTTCCACTCACTGCCCCATCCGTCCTTCCAGGGGGGTGGGCTACCCTGTTCTCTACCCCAGCCCCACCTGCAAGGAGCCTCTGGATGTGTCTAACGAGTTCACATTCGAGCTGATCAAGGGCGTGCTCACAGGTACACTACAACCTAACATGCCTATCCTCACTCACAGGAGCGCCAGAAGGCCGCGTATCTTTTAGTCGATCCAAAAGTCACCCCAGCCCCACGTGCAAGAAGCCTCTGGATGTCTCTAACGAGTTTACATTCGAGCTGATCAAAGGCGTGCTCACAGGTACGTTAGAGATGGGGCTGCAATTCCTCCTCGTCTTTCCCTTCACTTTCACGGTCAGTGTTTTCTGCCAGCAGCAGGATACAAATTGGAGTACGAATTTTACCCAGCTGATTGCCCCTTCATTGCCCTTCATTCCTGTTCATTCCCCTTTATTCGCCCTCATTCGCCTTTGTTCCCCTTCACTCCACTTCAGTTTTCTTTCTTTCCCCTTCCCTTCTGCTCTTTTCCCCCTTCATGCCCCACACCCCCAATCAACCTCCCCTGCAGACCTGCGGTCAGTGTTCACAGGCAGCAGGATACACATAGGAGGGGATGAAGTGAAGGAAGGTAAGGGACAAGGAGGGATAGGGAGGGGGAGAGTGGGAAAGGGGGGGATGAGAGAGGGGGAGTGAGAGAAGCTAAGAAAGTTAATCAGAGTTCAACCACCCTCACCCTCCCTGTCACCCCCCCATTCTTTCGCACCCTCCTATTCGCTCTCACCGTCCCGTGATTTCGTCCTCTTTCCTTTCTAACCCTGAAGTCGTTTTTGTCGCCTAATTGCCCTTATTGGCCCATTCTCTCGTCCCGTCGCCCCCGTGACCCTGTATCTGCCTCCTTCCACCAGATTGCTGGAGAAAGTCTGAACGGATTTCCCAGTGGTAAGCCATGAGCCGCTAGGATTTCTGTGATGTGACGCTGTTATAGGATGTATGTTTCTTTGTGCCACCATGCTACCGTGTTATGTCATCCGTTCAGTGCTTTGGCAATCCCGCATTCGCCACTACCATAGTATGGTTACCCTTAAATTCTACAGTGCATCGCACTTTTGGCATGTCCTAGTGATGGTGTTTCACTGATGTAACATACAGTAACCTACCAACAAAAGCCATACAATACGATGTAGTGCATATCACTCTGTAAATAAAGATGGACACATGCATCACTTGCTTTTCCAGCTGTTGACCTTTCTCCCAATTCGTTCTGCCCCACGTCTCACACCCTTCACAGGATGAATCAGCAGGGAATGCAGCCAAGGGATGCCGTCCGCTACTTCTCCAACCGAGTTCGATCCATTGCCTTGGAGCTAGGATGGGAGAAGACTATAGTATGGTATGTGTGCTGTGGTAATTATGGTCTTGTCTCATCTCATCCCACGGTCTTGTCCCATCCAAGTTCACGTGTCCCACTGTATTATTGTCTCATTTGAAGTCTCTAACCAAGTCGTTCACGTCTCCCTCCTACCCCCCTGCACGGATTGATCCTTGTCGTTTCCCTCCTCATTTCTTTGCTCCTTCCCCCTCTGCATCCAGGGAGGAATCCTATCAGGGTTTCTCAGAGGACCTCAACAAGACAACCACCATTCTTCAAAACTGGTATGATTGAAAAATATACATATGGAATTTTAGGTCGATAGTCATATCTTTCTCATGTCTAGAGTACTAGAAAGTGCCATGTTCTCCCCTTTTCTTCGTCGAACATGCTGCCCTTGCTTCTAACCTGGTGTGCCCTGACAGAATATATTATTGTTTCGCTCGTGTCAGGTTAAATGTTGACATTCTTGGAAGCATGGCTCGGGACAACTTTCAAATAATCTACAGCAATGTGTATGGCGGATGGTACCTTGACTCCATGGACGTGGTGAGTAGTTTATGGTGAAGCACTCTCAAACGAGGACAGCATAATATGGAATGGTACTTGAAGGTCATATACAGCAATATGTATGGCGGATGGTACCTCGACTCTATGGACGTGGTGAGTGGCTTATTGTGAAGCACTCTGTAAAGAGGACGTTATTAGAAGCAGGGCATGTGAATGCCTCTAAATAATCTGCAGCAATATGTATGTTGGAATCTACTTTTGCGGGTGCATAGGCATGACAAGAGCTGTACAATGGGGCACCCAATAATAGGAATCTGCTGGGAATGAACCATCCATCCAGTCAGTAGCTTATAACGAGGCTCTCACTACCTCCTCTTCCGTTCCCTGTCCCTTTCCCTGCCCATCCCCTATGCAGGATTGGAATAGAGTGTACAGTACAGACCCGACACAACACCTTGTAGTGGATGGCTCTGTACCGGAGCATCTATTAGAAGGGGGAGAGGTGTGCATGTGGGGCGAGAAGGTCGACTCATCAGACTTCATGCCGACAATTTGGCCCCGAGCCGCCGCTGCTGCTGGTGAGATGAAGGGCAACCTGCTGTACCATCATGTCGCATTATAATGAGTGTTACACCCTGTTACCTACTTACTGGAAGGGGGAGAGGTGTGCATGTGGGGGAAGAAGGTCGACTCATCTGACTTCATGCCAACAATCTGGCCTCGAGCTGCTGCTGCTGCTGGTGAGACGCCGAATTGATTAGAGTAAACTTTTACTGCTTTATAGTAGATTGTGCAATTTTATATCATGCATGGGGGCAGAGCAGAGGTGTGCATGTGGGGGGAGAAGGTGGATTCATCTGACTTCATGCCGACCATATGGCCTCGAGCTGCTGCTGCCGCTGGTGAGAAGAGCTGGTTGGGGCGTCGTTATGTCTCAATATGATCAAGGGCTGGTTGGAAGACAGTTGTGCTTCTTGATAGCACGAATAGGGTTTGTTGATAGCAAGTTTGTTGTTCACTTTCTAGTGGCAAGTTTGTTTTTTACTTGCTGGGGGACACTTTTGGCACTCCCACCTCAAGACACTCACTGTAATTGGTAACATTTCCGTAAACCAACCGGCTTCACTTGCTGTTTGTTTCCCTCTCTTCCCTTCCCTCAGAACGCCTCTGGAGCACCAAGACTTATGCCGATGCAGCACTAGCAAGCGGAGAGGCAGAGAAAAGATTGCACGTGTTTCGATGCCTTCTGAACAGAAGAGGAGTCGAGGCTGCGCCTGTGGGAAATGCGGTTCCACGTTCCAATCCTGAAAACCCCGGAGGCTGTCTCGACCAGTAGTAGAGTGAGACAAGAGTTAGGTATACGGTACTCGTACTGTCTCAGTACTTGTACTGTGTGTGCGCCATCGCCCACGCGTGCGCCGGTTCCTTCCGAACCGACGGTGGGTCGAGGCTGCGCTGCTCCCATGGGCCATGCTGTGCTGTGCCCCGTACCGCTCCCGAGTATCCCGGGAGCTGTCTTGATCCATAGAAAAGTGTCACGGGCCATGGCTGTTCTGTGACTGCATGTGATTGTATGAGCAAACATGGAGTGCAGGGGAGGGGAGGCTGCTCCCAGGGGCAATGCTGTGCCCCGTACCGCTCCCGAGTATCCTGGGAGCTGTCTTGATCAATAGGAGGGTTTAGGGTGGTTGCAGACAGAGACAGCTGTTTAGTGGTTGCATATGATTTGTATGGGCAAACACGGAGTGCAGGGGAGGCTGCTCCCGTGGCCAATGCAGTTCCTTGTATCATTCTCAGAGAATGCTGAGGACTGGTATTTATCAGCGCACATGCGGGCAAAGCCTGTTTGGAATCGCTTCCTGATTAAAACGGCCTGTGTTGTTGCCTGCCACACCACCCCATGTAATTGCATCGGCACTGGACAAACAAGGAACAAAGTGGTAATGCCCCTCCTGTTCGCAACCCTTTGCAAACATCGAATGTGAATAAATGCATTGTGGTATGAAGCCGCCAGGAGTGGAAATTAGGAACTACAGTATATCTGTGGGTCTTTCACGTTCTATGAATTGTGTCAGAGCCAGGAGCTTTGACTCTCCTCGCTCCGCAACCAATGACTGGCTTGCACTTCTCCCAAAGGTTTCCAGGAGCTAGATACATACATGAACATTTCCTAAAATAAAACTAATGAATATATTGCCTGACGAAATAATAAATCTCGTTATCAGAACGAGGGTACCGTACTTCACGGGCTGAAGGCCACGACTGCTAGCAGTTCCCTCAGCCTTGCATCCTTGCACACCTGGTTCAGCCGCTCCCGGGTTACTAGCCTGACACAGGTAAGGGAAGAGAGTGGGAGGTTAAAGGGGAAGAGGAGGGTACCGTAGATCACGGGCTGAAGGCCACGACTGCCAGCAGTTCCCTCAGCCTTGCATCCTTGCACACTTGGTTCAGCCGCTCCCGGGTTACTAGCCTGACCGGGGAAAGAAAGAGGGGAGGGGGTGGGAAGGGGGGAAGTTCCATCACTAAAAGAAGGTTTTCCCAGCCTCGCATCCTTGCACACCTGGTTCAGCCGCTCCCGGGTTACCAGCCTGACACAGGTAAGGGAAGAGAGTGGGAGGGGAAAGGGGAAGAGGAGGGTACCGTATTTCACGGGCAGTTTCCTCAGCCTCTCATCCTTGCACACCTGGTTTAAGCGTTCCCGGACCATCACTAGAAACGCTCCTACTTCACCTGCTTCACACAAGTTGACTTATATAAGGGTGTTGCGACCATTGTAATCACCCACTCCACCAAAACCGACTTAGTACTTTTCGGTACACCTTGCTTCTCTATTCCCCTCACTTGGACTGCGCCAAAGCACTCACTTGTTTCGCAAGACCTTGGCTCAACATGGCTCGCTTCACTCCGACTTCACCATGGCTCGCTTCAGCTGTGTTTTGAGTCGACTCAAAACACACCCAAAACACTCATGTGCGTGTTGAAAGACCATCGTGTTCCCCTCACCTGCATTACTCCAAAGCACTCACTTGTTTCGCGAGACCTTGCCCCAATACTCCGACTTGACCATGGCTCGCTTCAGCTGGGGCCACAGCGGCAGGCACTCCGTGCATGCTGGCAGGGATAAATATGAAAGGGACAAGGTAGAGGCTAGTTTGTCTTATGGAATAAAAAAAATGCACTGCACGGCGTACAAAAGTTCAGTTGAAATGATGAACTGATGAGCAGTATCAACATACTTTTCTAAGTATCTATCAGCATTCTGATGTCCCAGTGATAGATAACGGCAAAACCATTTACTTACAAGCCACAGTGATGTCCCAAAGTTGCTTTTGAGGCACCTCAAAAATACTTCTGAGCATCACCATTTACTTTACCATTTACTTAGCATTTACTTACAAGCCACAGTGATGTCCCAAAGCTCCTTGATTTCCGTCTCGCTACTGAACGATCCGCTATTCTGCAAGAAGCAAGTGAGGCAGCAGAAACAAGGGGCACAAGAGGAACAAGCCGGGAAAAAAATGGCACGACAACACAACCACGGAAAAGGTTAGCCATGCCATACCAGCAGCGAAACAGAGAGTCGTGTTTTGAGTCGACTCAAAACAAGCAGGGCAAAAGATGGCACGACAACACAACCACGGAAAAGGTTAGCCATCCCATACCAGCAGCAAAACAGAGAGCACCTGATACTGAACAGGGCCAGCAAACTTTGAGAAAAAAAATAAGAATAAGATACTCCCAAATTGGGAGTCCCAATGCACACTGACTCACCCGGTGGCCGAACTCGAGGAACTTGACGATGACTCCAAACGAGTTGGGCAGTTTCTTGTAGGTCGCCAGGTCTAGTCTCTTCTTCACCACATCCTCACAGGACAGCTCGAGAATCGATGCGTTTACGCACGCTGCTAACGCCAGGGTCTTGTAGGTTGTTCTGGGGTCGTTGCCTGGTGAGGACCTCACGCATAACAGGAGGGTAGCGTTACGAACGGACTTCACAACGTCCTCAGGACGGACTTGAAAACGTTAACGGAGAGCTGCAGGATAGACGCGCTCACACTAGGGCCAGGGCTATGGCTTGGCTCACATTTCCATTCATCCCCACTCCTCACCTGTCAGTCGTCCACCTCTCGTATGCGTTGCTCACCTTTGACGCTGCTCCATCCGGCCATGGCGGGCAGCAGCGGCACAAAGTCATGCGGATCCAATGGCACTCGCATTTGCTTCCGCTGCAGAGGGAAACGGGAGGAGAGGAAGCGGCGCCAGCACATGATTTGATGTGGAGAAACACAGCTCCCAGGAACTGGCACTACTCATAGAATCAACCATGGACGTGTTTTGAGGTGTTTTGCGGTGCTTCAAATAGGGTTTCAGGAGCTCCGGTTGTGTCAAGGAATTCTGAGGTGTTCTGATGCGTTTTGGGGTGTCGTAAGGTGCTTGGTGTCTGACAGTGCTTTGAACAACATGCACGTACACAAGCGAAGATGTTGAGGATGACGTCAGCAGCCTGCATGAGGCTGGCCTGCCCCTCGGGTCCCGACCGCAGCTGGTGGTGCATGTTGGTGCGTGCGGTCTCCACCATGTAGTCTATGAGCTGGATGTAGCCTCCTCTCTTGACCAATGACGTGCAGCCACGTGGCTCACTGGTGATGTGCACCAGCGCGGGCAGCATGTACCGCACAGCTAGGAGTGGCCTGGGGGTGTGGGAAGGAGTGGAAAGGCGGTACAGAGTGGTAAAGAGAGGTAACAGAGAGGTAAGGAGAGGTAAGGAACGGTGAGTGGTGTCACTGGCACTGGTGATGTGCACCAACGCAGGCTGCAGGTAATGCACTGCTAGGAGGGGTCCGTGCGGGGAGCACGTAATGCACTGCACCCCTGGGCACGGGACGGGGAGCAGGTAAACCCCCACCCAAACCCCCTTACAAGCCTCTCCCATCCCGTGCCCATCTTTCCTCCTGCTCACCTTTCCTCCTGCGCGCCTGTGACTCCCAGCACGAACCCCAGCAGCCGCCCAGCCCTCTTCCTGTGAGCCGAGGGCGCAGCAGTGAAGCAGCGAGTCTATATAACCACCCCCCTGCCCCATTTCACCCCCCTGCCTCCTATCCCGTGCCCACCTTTCCTCCTGCGCGCCTGTGACTGCCAGCAGGAACCCCAGCAGCCGCCCCACCCTCTTCCTGTGAGCCGAGGGCGCAGCAGTGCAGCAGCAAGTCTATATAACCACCCCCCTGCCCCCTGTCCCCTGTCCCCCACTCACCTTTCCTCCTGCGCGCCTGTGACTGCCAGCAGGAACCCCAGCAGCCGCCCGGCCCTCTTCCTGTGAGCCGAGGGCGCAGCAGCCAGGCACACCCCCACCAGCCGCACACACGCCAGCACCGCCTCCCCACACCACCACTCCCGCTGCTGGGCTAGCTGTAGAAACACTAGTACGTCCTTTAACGCTCCATCTACCACCTCTGCACATAGTCGTACAGAAAGCTCCCTTACAGAGAGCTCCTTTACAGAAAGCTTTCCACTTAGAGTCTGCCCATTGGTCTGCCGTTCAGCTGATACAGCCCCCTCCCCTTCAGCCTTTTCTCCAGCTTTTGTTAGTAATCCCACCACCGCTTCAATCAGGCCGAAGCACCGGTCCAGCCGCTGCTGTGCCTGCCGAACCTCATCCGGAGGTCCGGCGTCCTCTGCACCTCCGTCATCCTCCTCCATAGCTGCAAACTCTTCTATACTGAGCTCCCCCAGGCCACCTTCCCCTCCCTCTCCCCCTCCTCCCCCTCCCCCACCACCTCCCCCTTCCCCATCCGCGTTAGTAGGAGGCTCCCATATCGCATCCTTCATATCTTTCACTACAGACCTCCAATCCTCATTCGTGGGCACTATAGAGTTCATTCTATCCAGCCCTCCCCCTCCCCCTCCCCCTAAACCCCCCCCTGCGCCCCCCCCAAGCCCTCCACTCCTCATAAGCCCACCTCCCCCAGACCTACCCAAACCACCCCCTCCTCTTGCCAACCCCCCAGATCTCCCCAAACCCCCCCCTCCTCCCCCTCCCCCTCCCCCTCCTCCTCCCGCGCTGGCCCCTATACCGCCCAGAACTCCTGCATTTCCCGGCCCAAATCGGTCCAGATTTCCTCCCAGGGCCACCCAAGCAGCATCCGCATTCACCTTGCTCTGATCCGCCCAGCTGCTGCTGCTCAGCTTATTCTGCTTGCTCAGATTGCTCTGCTTGCTCAGATTGCTCTGCTTGCTCAGATTGCTCTGCTTGCTCAGACTGCTCTGTTCCGCTTTACTAGTGCTATGCAGCTTGCTTATCCCTGTGCTGCTGCCAGTGCTGATTATGCTGCTTCGGCTGCCAGTGCTGTCCTCTGTATCCATTGCAGACGTGTGGTTACCAGCACTGAGAGTGTGGTTACCATTGAGCATGTGGTTACCGCACTCAGTGTTACTCTCTGCGCTCTCTGCTGCCACTCCAGCTGCTGCTGCTGCTAAGGCTGATGCGTTACCATCTTCCCCACTGATTTCTCGACCGCTGTTATTTCCTAAACTGTCCCGCGGTTGATCAGGGTCAGAGTTGGGTTCAATAATGGGGTCGGAACTGGGGTCAGTCTTGGGGTCAGTTCCGGGGTCAGTGTCTGGGTCAGTGCTGGGGTCAGTGACAGTTTCAGCTTCAATTGTAAGACGAGCTAGGGTGTCGAGAAGGCCAGGAATCTCCTGCTTGGCTGTTCGCATGAGAGCCAGCACGAAACTGGGTGGATTGGGAGGGAGGGGGGGCGCGCATGAGGGAGGTTGGCATGGGAGAGAATGCACAAGGGCCAGTCAGTGTCGAGACGGCCAGGAATCTCCTGCTTTGCTGTTCGCATGAGAGCCAGCACGAAACTGGGTGGATTTGGAGGGAGGGGGGGCGCGCATGAGGGAGGTTGGCATGGGAGAGAATGCACAAGGGCCAGTCAGTGTCGAGACGGCCAGGAATCTCCTGCTTTGCTGTTCGCATGAGAGCCAGCACGAAACTGGGTGGATTTGGAGGGAGGGGGGGCGCGCATGAGGGAGGTTGGCATGGGAGAGAATGCACAAGGGCCAGTCAGTGTCGAGAAGGCCAGGAATCTCCTGCTTTGCTGTTCGCATGAGAGCCAGCACGAAACTGGGTGGATTTGGAGGGAGGGGGGGCGCGCATGAGGGAGGTTGGCATGGGAGAGAATGCACAAGGGCCAGTCAGTGTCGAGAAGGCCAGGAATCTCCTGCTTTGCTGTTTGCATGAGAGCCAGCACGAAACTGGGTGGATTGGGAGGCGGAGGGAGGGAGGAGGGGGGGGGGGAAGGGGGGGAGGAGGGGGAGGGAGCGGGGGAGAGGCAAGAGCCAACTGTTTGGTGAACAGAGGTATGGGTGGGTGGGAGAGAAGGAAGGATGGATGCCTTGTGAATCCAGGTTGTGAATTTTAAGCCATGAAGCTGCCAGGTTTGGAAAGAAAGGGGGGTTCCTGCTTGAAAAAGAAGGGAGGGAAAAAAAAAAGGCGTTTCCAGTTCGCTGGCAAAAAAGGGACTAAAGACTATAATCAGAGGTCTTACCCGAATTCCAGCACATTTTCGGAAGTGCCAAAGTCAGGGGAATCCTCAGGTGTATTTTCAGGAGGCCCAGCGAGCCAGGAATCTCCAAGAATGCTGTTAACCACATGCGCCAGGTGAAACGCGTCCTGCTGACTCTCCGAAGATGCTGGCAGAGCGGAAGCGGTCGGTAGGGAAAGGGGGGGGGCGAGGACGAGAGAGGGTGAGTGAATTGAGGCCCTTCAGATAAGAGTCGGTGCAGTGCAGTGCAGGCATGTGACTGACTTTCATGGTGGCATGGCATCAACTTAAGGAGCCCAAAACGTCGGCAGTTGTCTTTCAGTTACGGAAAAGTGGGAGACTTGCAGTTGAATGAACTCGCAACAAGGGCAGAACTAAGAAAAGGAGAATGAACCTTGAATTGAGGAGCCTCGGCCACAACAACAAACTAACCAGTGGAAAGAGGGCAGAACTAACCAGTGGTAGACAGGATGATACTCTGAATGCCGGCCCGAAGGTCTGTCGCCCACACTCGACCCGCAACTAAAGGCTCAAGGCTCTTCACGCCTTGCTGAACCAGACCCTCCGACCAGTGGAAAGGGGGCAGCACTAACCAGTGGTGGAAGACAAGAGGATGCTCTGAATGCCGCCCCGAAGGTCTGCCGTCCACACCCGACCCGCAACTAAAGGCTCAAGGCTCTTCACGCCTTGCTGAACCGGACCCTCCGACAGCTCCGGCTCAACGGCGCTTTGAGGAGCGCTAGACAATGCAGGGCGCAGGTGGCCTGGGCCCGAGTTGTGTTGGTGTTGAGTTGTTGTTGAGAGCAGGGCGAGCAGCAGGGTGACTATCTTGTGCTTGGTGCTGCTGTCCTGGCTTGCTGCTAGCTGCCTTGCCAGGGCTGGCACCTGAGAAGCAGAGGGTAACCAGAGGGTAACAGAACATAGTGGTGGTAGTCAAGACAATAATGAGCAGCAGGGCGACTGTCTTGTGCCTGCTGCTGCTGTCTTGGCTTGCTGCTAGCTGCCTTGCCAAGGCTGGGACCTGAGAAGCAGAGGGTAACCAGAGGGTAACAGAACATAGTGGTGGTTGTCAAGACAAGAATGAGCAGCAGGGCGACTGTTTTGTGCTTGCTGCTGCTGTCTTCGCTTGCTGCTAGCTGCCTTGCCAGGGCTGGCACCTGGGAAGCAGATGGTAATGGAATATTGAGAGAAGGGGCAGAGGCAACACAAAAGCTTAGCACTTGCTCGCATGAGAAACTTGGATAGGAAGGGTTTGGTGAAGTGGAGACAAAAAGTGGTGACCGGGGAAGGGGGAAGTGGGAAAGGGGAACTGGGATGGGGGACAGGTCACAGGGCGAAGGAAAAAGGGCACTCACGGCAGCAGCAAGAGAGTCTCCGTGTTGAGACATATCGAGGGGAGATGCAGCATTGACCAGAACGCTTAGCAGGTCCGTTGCAAGAGATGAGCAGGAAGGGTCTGTGGGTAGGGGAGGGAAGGGGAGAGTTAAGAGAGGAGGTGTTTAGAACAGGAAGGTGGGGAAAGGCGGGGCAGGGGAGGGTGGGGAGGAGGACTGAAAATTCTCATACAAAGAAGGATGACGTTGAAAATTCTCGTGCCCCACCTTCTTCTGATCCTTCAATTAATCCCTCGTGCTTTACCATCCACTCATGCATGTGCCATGTCATGATACCTGTGATGGCAGAAAGAGAGCTAGCCACCACCCCCCCACCAAGCCTTGCTTGTTCCCTGCACACCTGCGTGCCTTTCATGCCATCAAGCCCCTTACTCTCTCCACACATCCAAGTACCTGTGATGGCAGCAAGAGAGCGCGCAACCACCCCAAGCACGCCTTGCTCCCTGCATGCCCGCATACCCGCCTCTGATCCCCGCGCCACAGCCAGCACACACAGGCATGCGTCTTGGACGAGAGACACTGTCCGCCTGAAGGTTGTGGGGAGCGAGGGAGGGAGGAGAGGAAGGAGCAGACTACGTAATGTGTGTGTGTAAGTATAGGAATATACAGCCACAGCCAGCACACACAGGCATGCGTCTTGGACGAGAGACACTGTCCGCCTGAAGGTTGTGGGGAGCGAGGGAGGGAGGAGAGGAAGGAGCAGACTACGTAATGTGTGTGTGTAAGTATAGGAATATACAGCCACAGCCAGCACACACAGGCATGCGTCTTGGACGAGAGACACTGTCCGCCTGAAGGTTGTGGGGAGCGAGGGAGGGAGGAGAGGAAGGAGCAGACTACGTAATGTGTGTGTGTAAGTATAGGAATATACAGCCACAGCCAGCACACACAGGCATGCGTCTTGGACGAGAGACACTGTCCGTCTGAAGGTTGTGGAAAGGAAGGAGGGGGGGAGCAGCAGAAAAAACAAGCGGGAGAATGGAGAGGAGAAGGTGATGTTTTTGTGGATAGTATATACATTCTGTCCGCCTGAAGGTTGTGGGGAGGGAGGCAGGATGACAGAAGGGGGAGGAGAGTGTGCAGCGATGGGAGAAGCGATGGTAGAGTGCACGAGAGAAACTGTCCGGCTGAAGGTTGTGGGGAGGGAGGGAGGAGGAGGGGAAGGAGCTGCAGGATAGACAGACCAGATGTCAAAGCTCTCTCCCAACAACCCACCACCCCACTTCCCCTTCGCCTCGCCCCCCTCCCTCCCTCCTTTCCTCGCCTGCACCCCGACCCCACGAACAGGTGACAGAGAGTTGGGCTGAATAGTGTCATTGAGCATTCATCCACCCACCCGTGAAGAATAATCTGGCTGAGAGGCTCTAGCAAGTTCATGAGGCGCCTCAAAAAGCGTTCATCCACCCACCCGTGAAGGATAATCTGGCTGAGCGGCTCTAGCAGGCGCAGAACGGGAGGCAGGCAGACCAAACCGGGTTGCTGAGTAACCACCACCAGAACAGACACTGCTGCTTCTGCTGCTCCTGCTGCTGACGCTGGTGCTGGTAAACCCTGCGTTGGCTCAACAGGCGTCTCCCCTACTGATTCTTCCAGCAGGGACCGAACGAAGTGGAAGGGCAGGGCGTCAAACACCTCGTGCACCACGTCAGCGTCCCCACATGCCACGTGGCCTGCTGCAGCCACCAGACCTGCTGCCATGTCAGCTTCGCCTACGCTCATCAGCAGCTGCAGGCATGCATCGAGAGATGTGGAAGCTTCATGTGATGGGGGTGCTGAGGAACCAAGATCAGCAGCTGCTGCATCAACAGCAGCAGCAGCAGCAGCAGCGGCAGTTGCAGCAGCAGCAGCGGCGGCAGAGTCAGCACCTCCCTGCTCTGTTGCACTTTCCTCTTCCATCATCCCTTCATCTTCCCCTCCATCTTCCCCAACTGAAACCTCCATGCTCACAGCAACAAGCCCTTCTCCATCCTCCCCTCTCCCCTCCTCCTTCCCCCTCGTCTCCTCAACCACCTCTGTCAGCCTCGGCCCCTCCATCTCTTCCTCTCCCTTACTCTCCTCCTCTCCCTTACTCTCCTCCTCTCCCTTACTCTCCTCCTCTCCCTTACTCTCCTCCTCTCCCTTACTCTCCTCCTCGACCTTACTCTCCTCCTCGACCTTACTCTCCTCCTCTCCCCTACTCTCCTCCTCAACCTCCCTTTCCCCTTCCTCCTGCTCCTCTTTCTCCCCCATGTCCTCCTCGCCTTTCTTCTCCTCCCCATCTTCCCTCCCCTCTGCCTCCTGCTCCGCTTCCTCCTTCCCCTCTGCCTCCTGCTCCCCTTCCTCCTGCTCCCCTTCCTCCTGCTCCCCTTCCTCCTGCTCCCCTTCCTCCTGCTCCCCTTCCTCCTGCTCCCGTCCCACCTGCTCCTCTTCCTCCACAGCAGCAGCGACTGAAGCAGCAACAGCCGAAGCAGCAGCAGTAGCAGCAGGCTCTGGGATTAAAGCTGCAGGTGTAACACCCAACGAGATCACATCAGCAGCAGGAGCAGGAGCAGCAGGAGCAAGAGCAGCAGGAGCAAGAGCAGCAGGAGCAAGAGCAGCAGGAGCAGCAGCAGGAGCAGCAGCAGGTGCGGCAGCAGCAGCAGGAGCAAGAGCAGCAGGAGCAACAGAAGCAACAGCAGCAGCAGGAGCAACAGGAGCAACAGCAGCAGCAGCAGGAGCAGCAGCAGACATGTGCAGCAGCCCTTCAGCCGTATAAGCCCCAGGCACCGAAGACCCATCAGCATCATCCATGCAATCATTGCTGTCTGCTGGCCCAGTGGCAGTGCTGTCTGCAGGCCCTTCATTCATGGTCAGCTCCAGCATGCCATTCTCCACCGCCTTCGCCTCGGCAAGAGGAACAGCAGCAGCAGGAGCAGCAGGAGGAGGAAAGGCAGCAAGCGGAACAGCAGGAGGAGGAACAGCAGGAGAAGCAGGTGCGCCAGCTGCAGCAGCAACTGCAGCAGCAGCAGGAGGAGCAGGCACTGCAGCAAAAGAAGCAGCAGTTGCAGCACTTGCAGTGAATGCCGATGCTTCCTTCTCCTCCTCCGCAACTGAAGAATTGTCTCTGTCTCCGATTAAATGGCTGACAGAATTCGCACTAGTCACCTCGTCTTCCGTGTTATCCTCCTGTGAAACCCCAGGCTCTTCGTGTGTTGGCCCTTCGTGCGTAGGCCCTTCGTGCGTTGGCCCCTCGTCCACCTCCATTCGCGAGGGGCCTGCGAATGTCTGGCGAACTTCGTCATCGTCCAGAACCTTGACGTTCGTCTTCTTGAGCGGGTTTCCCAGCAGCAGGTCCGACGACTGCGACTGCGACGGCGACGTGTGCGACTGTGATGGCGACGTGTGCGACTGGGATGGCGACGCGTGCGACATGTCCGGCGACGAACCTGCCGCAGCAGAAGCGCCGCTGTCAACAGCCTTACTGGCATTGCCAGCAAACGCTTTAATCTCCTCTTCACTTCCCGATTCTTTCCCAAAGGACAATCTTGATCCACTTTTGCGTCTGGCTGTCGACGGTCCAGATACAGACTTCCCTCCAGTCCCGCTGCTAGATTCCGAGCCTAGGGAGGAGGAATGGGACGAGGTTCGGTCTCGGCGCGATCGGGATTGCAGCAGGCCGAGAAAACCTCGTTTCCCGGGGGAGCGGCTTGCTTGCTGTAGCTCCGGCGTGCCTGGTTCGGCTAGAGGTTCGGTAGCAGGTTCGGATATAGGGTCGGATGATTTGAGGTCGGGAGACAGGTGGTGCTTGATCGTCTCTTTCAGAGACCGAGTGTGCGTGAAAGTGTGGCCGTTGGGAGTGTGACTATTGTGGGAGTGATACTTGGCGCTGTGACTGAACGGCCACATCCCCCGCAGGAACGTGCCATAAGCAGGTTTGCTGCGCGGTGAAGGTCGGTCGTCTGTGGTAACTCTAGTATCGACACCATCTGCTTCGAACTCTTGAGTCTTTAATTCTGCCATTTTCAGAGCACGCATAGAATTGACCGCCGGACTTCACGCGAGTGGCAGTAGGAAATGCGAAACGTGAAAAGAGGCGCAAGCGCCGGTCGAAATTGACTACAATTGCCCACTAAGATGTTAGGACTGACAAATCAGGACTCGGGTCAGCCAAAGCCGAATTACGTCACTGTCTGCAGCACATACCCTCTTGCCTGAAAATAAACAAGGAAGAGGAAGAAAAAAAACTAAGAACGATAACTCTATGCTTCATTAGTGATCGAAAGGGTTATCCGCTAGCACACTAGACAATTTCTCTAGTGCTATCTGTTACGAAACTGCGATCTGCTAGACAATTCTCCCTAACTTCTCTAGATGTCACATATGTAAGTCTCTTAGGAAAATCTAGGAAGCAAATGACAGAATGAACTTCACGCCTCAAGTTAGTGAAGTAGTACGGAATGGTTGAAGTGAAAGCTGGAAGCGAGAATGCGCGTAACATGGGAGTATAAAAGATATTGAGCTGAGAAAGTAAAAGATATCGACTGAGAATGAGGAGGTGCGTTGCGGTCCAAGACGGTGATACGCAGTAACCGCTTCTTACCTCCTGGAAATTTATTGAACCGCACTAAACGTAGACCACTCGATTCAGTACCCAATCCACGCACATCCATCTGCTGCGGCATCAGCGGGGGTGGGTGACAGTGACAGACATCACACACACAGCGCAGGGAAGTTATTTTCCCGCGAAAGCCTCGGTTCTAACGAGCCGCTTGTTACACGTAATATGACTGGATGACGACCACTCCCTGGTACATGCGAAACTGCAATTTTCGTGAGCGCCACAACTACATTCGCGAAACTAAGTTGTTGGTGAATGTTGGTTGGGTTCGCTGCATCCTGTCGGTTACTCTGCCAGGCTTGCATCTGGGAAACAGGCTCGCAAAGCTTGGCTTTCTTTCAGCAAGGCCAACAAACCACACTCATCAAAGTCTATACCCATCAATGAGCTGGATTCGATTTCATAACTAACGTCTACACATGAGCGCCTAGAGGTCTGTATATTTATCAGTTTGCATAATTCGCACACCACTTAACCGAGACGTCATTTGTTGTCATGGTAAGCATATCCGATCAGCAGACCTTATCTACACAACGATCCAAGGACTTCCCACGAAAAGCACCATAAGAAACTTGGGTTTCTTTATGGTGCTGCCACCGTAAAGTGCATCATAATGCACAGAATCGTGGCTTTGTGGAGGAAAGAAAGGTCAGGCTTGAATGCTGCCTTTTAACAGGGTTGGTCACGGGTGAAGTGATGGCTTCTAGTCGCAGTTAAGGAAACTGGGCTCCATGAATTGGTAGACAACGTTCCTCTTTGCATCTCGCGTTACGTTGCGTACCCCACACTCTGACTCATCATCGAAAAGCAAACAGCTGCCTCTGCAGGATGGAACCTTGTAACTGCACACGCAAAAGCAAGGCGCAAGAAAGAACCAGATGTTCTTTTCCCAGTAACAAATTGCCAAAAGATGTTTTCAAGACTTTCGAGTCAACTCAAAAGTCACCTAGCTCTCACCTGTTCTCCACAAAGGCCCACAGGTTGCAGTAGTTCTTGTACTGCTTTGTCTGTGACTGCGCCCTCTGACACATCTACTTGCATTCAAGCCTTTCAAGTCATTTTAAAAAAAAAGTCACCTAGCTCTCACCTGTTCTCCACGAAGGCCCACAGATTGCAGTAGTTCTTGTACAGCTTCGTCTGTGACTGGGCCCTCTGGCACATCTGCTGGCACCGCTTGGAGGAAGCAGCTTGTGTGGCGTTGTTGAGGTTTGAAAGCTCGCCCGTAAGATCTTGGATCTGCTTGTGCGAGGAGAGAGAGTCAGGGGGGGAATGGGATGAGGTTCTTGGCCCTCTGACACATCTGCTGGCACCGCTTGGAGGAAGCAGCTTGTGTGGCATTGTTGAGGTTGGAGAGCTCGCCCGTAAGCTCTTGAATCTGCTTGTGCGCGGGAAGGAAGACAGAAGGGGGATGAAGGGAGTTAGAGGGAGATATCTGACGTTCCTGCAAAGGCTGAGCACTTGGCACACAAGCTGGTGTGTGTACACAAGGGCTCAAGAATGTACACCATCTGGCAGGAATTGGTCCTTGTACCTCACCCTCACATGCTTGATTGTCACACCCGCAACTGCCTGCAAGATTCGAGTCCCAGCCACCTTAATCCCCCTGCCACGCACCTTATCCACGCTGCCACACACGCTGCAGCGCCCCTTCTGGCTTGAGAAGAAGCCCTCGGCGCTGAGAAGAAGCCTTCTGGCCACGCACTTGGACTCCATCGTGTACCTTACCCCATCTTGCACACAGTGCTCCTTGTGTCCCTCAAACGGTCCTTGTGTACCTCACTCTCACATGCTTTATTCGCTCAGCTACACGCCCTATTCTCACAGCCACCCACCTTATCCACGCTGCCACACACGGTGCAGCGCCCCTTCTGGCCCGAAAAAAACCCCTCGGCACAGGCCACGCATTTGGACTCCATCGTGTATCCCAGCTTGCACACAGTGCTCCTCGTCCTCGCTCTCACAGACACACTCTCCCACTGCCTGCAAATGGAAGTCCCAGCCACCTTGTCCCCCCTGCCACCCACCTTGTCCCCCCTGCCACCCACCTTGTCCCCCCTGCCACCCACCTTGTCCCCCCTGCCACCCACCTTGTCCCCCCTGCCACCCACCTTGTCCCCCCTGCCACCCACCTTGTCCCCCCTGCCACCCACCTTGTCCCCCCTGCCACCCACCTTGTCCCCCCTGCCACCCACCTTGTCCCCCCTGCCACCCACCTTATCCCCCCTGCCACCCACCTTATCCCCCCTGCCACCCACCTTATCCCCCCTGCCACGCACCTTATCAACGGTGCCACACACGGTGCAGCGCCCCTTCTGGCCCGAAAAGAACCCCGGGGCACAGGCAACGCATTTGGACTCCATCGTGTATCCCAGCTTGCAGGCAGTGCAGGCTTTGGCAGGGTCGAACTGGTTCTGGCACTTGCAGTAGGGGTTGAGATCTGCGTCTAGAGCACAGGTGCCGTGACCGTTGCAGTCGTTAGAGCAGCCAGTGCAACCACTGGGAGGGGAGAGGGACGGGAAGGGATAGGGGAAGGCTTTATCAGGGTCGAACTGGTTCTGGCACTTGCAGTAGGGGTTGAGATCTGAGTCTAGAGCACAGGTGCCGTGACCGTTGCAGTCGCCAGAGCAGCCAGTGCAGCCACTGCAAGGGGGGTTAAGAAGAGGGGACGGGAGATAAGAAGAGGGCATGAGGAGCAGAGCTGGCTTTAGCAGCGCCCTGTTGCGGCGCAACCGCTGCTAAAGCCAGCTAAAGCCAGCTCTGTTGCGGCGGAGGTTGGAATTGCAGAATTGCACCACCGCGCCATGCCCTGCGCTTGCAGGGAGATCGCACCACCCCTGCTTCCAGAATCCAGAGCTCAAATTGCTTGCTTCTACACGCAAGCACAGAAGCCTCACCTGCAGCTCTGAACCTCCTTCAGAGCAGCTGTTTTCCGGATGCGTCTCGGCCCCGTGCTCCCACATGCGGTAACCGTGCCGTCACTCGTCCCGGCGTTCATGCAAGCACAGAAGCCTCACCTGCAGCTCTGGACTTCCTTCAGAGCAGGCGTTTTCCGAATCCGCCTGGGCCCGGTGCTCCCACACGCTGTAACCGTGCCGTCACTCGTCCCGGCGTTCATGTCATTCGACACAGGATACACCGGCGCTTTGTTTCTCCGGAAGTTGGAGTTGCAGAATTGCACCACCGCGGCCTGTGCTTGCATGGAGATGGCTCCGCCCCGCCCGTTTTTCACCGTGTTGGCGGAGAATCGGGTGCCAATGGAGGTGAGGATTGGGCTTGTGGTGAGGATGGCACCGCCGCCACGAGCTGAGGGGAGATAGGGAGGGGGAAGGGGGGGAAGAAGCAGGGAGGGAGGGAAGGAAAGATGGGGAGGGGCGGAACGAGGGTTAGCACTACGCGTGCTAATGGAGGTGAGCTAGGGGCTTGTGGTGAGAATGGCACCGCCGCCACGAGCTGAGGTAGACGGGGACGAGGGGGAAGGGGCGGAATGAGGATGTAGTAAGGAGGGACGAGAGAATGTGGTTTAGGGTAAAAAATGAGCCTGTCTGTGTGAGCCTCTGTGAGAAACGAGAGGATGTGTGGTAGAAATGAGCCTCTGTGTGTGGTTTTCAACAGTGTTCTGCACACAGATCGACTAAATTCTGTTCCGCCACAAACTGCTCAAAATGCGAGCATGCGTATCATAACGCGCGTTGCCAGCAGACGAGCAAGTGTTTGTGATTACCAGCGGTGTTCTGCAAGTAGGTCAACTGGCGCAGGTGAAGCTCATCAGATAAGCACGAGTGCGTATGACAAACAGATGAGCAAGTGTGATTGATTACCAGCGGTGTTCTGCAAGTAGGTCGACTGTCGCAGGTACAGCTCATCAAACGAGCACGAGTGCGTATCTCAAACAGATGAGCAAGGGATATTACCAGCGGTGTTCTGGGAGAAGGTCGACTGGTGCAGGTAAAGCTCCTCATCAGATAAGCACGTGTGCGTATTACAAGCAGATGAGAAAGTGTGATTGGTTACCAGCGGTGTTCTGAGAAAAGGTCGACTGACTGGCGCAGGTACAGCTCATCAAACAAGCACGAGTGCGTATTACAAACAGATGAGCAAGTGTTTGTGATTACCAGCGGTGTTCTGCGAGAAGGTCGACTGGCGCAGGTAAAGCTCACTCCCTTCGGAATAAATCGCGCCTCCGCTGCCTCCCGCCGAGTTTTTACTAAAAGTGCACTTAGCAATCTTCACATCCGGGCCTCCCGTGGGGTCCCTTCCGACGTTGATAACTCCTCCATTCCCGGTCGCGGTATTGTTGAGAAAGAAGCAGGTAGTGAACTGGAGGGGCGAGCCAGCAGTGGGTGAGCTGTCCCGTGAGCTGGAGAGAGGGGTTCAATGGGACAAAGGGAGAAGGAGAGTAGAGGTTTTCACATCCGGCCCACCTGTGGGGTCCCTCCCGACGTTGATAACTCCGCCATTGCCAGCGGCGGAGTTGTTGAGAAAGAAGTAGGTGGTGAACTGCAGGGGCGAGCCAGCGGTGGGTGAGCTGTCTCTAGAGCTGGAAGGGGGGGGGTTAACGGGACATGAGGAGAAGACGCACGTGGTGAATGGCAGGTGAGCTGGAGAGAGGGAGAAGCACGTCGTGAACTGCAGGGGGGATCCAGCAGTGGGTGAGCTGTCCCTAGAGCTGGAAGGGGAGGTGGGACAAGGGGAGATGGGGGATAAGGACATTAGAAAAGAGAGACGTGTGACGGCAGTGTTGTTGAGAAAGAAGCAGGTGGTGAACTGCAGGGGGGACCCAGCGGTGGGTGAGCTGTCTCTAGAGCTGGAAGGGAAGATGGAACAATGGGACATGGGGGAGAAGGACAGTGGTAGGGAAGAGAGACGTGTGAGGGCGGCGTTGTTGAGGAAGAAGCAGGTGGTGAACTGCAGGGGCGAGCCAGCGGTGGGTGAGCTGTCTCTAGAGCTGGATGGTGGGGGTAACGTGGATGAAGCAGGGACTCCTCCCACGTTTATAACGTGGTCGAGTCCCACTGGCCTGATTCGAGTCGCTTCAAATACTCACTTGAAAACCGCCCCTCCAGTGGAGCGCTTATCCGCGACGTTGTGCTGGAAGGTGACTCGGCGCGCAGGGGCGAGGCAGTAGTGGGTGGGCTCGTCGTTTCTGAGGCGCTTGACAATACTCTACTGTGAGGCGCTGAGGCAGTTTCTAGGTGCCGAGCTTACTTGAAAACCGCCCCTCCAGTGGAGCGCTTATCCGCCACGTTGTGCTGGAAGGTGACTCGGCACGCAGCCAACTGGCAGGCGCCCACGTGCACGCCGTTGAGCGCGTGCTGAATAACTCATCGAACATGCACGTGCTGCACCACCAGGTTCTCCGCTTGACCGCCTCTCCGCCACGATATGGTGGAAGGTGACTCGGCGCGCAGGGGCGAGGCAGTAGTGGGTGGGCGCGCCGTTTCTGAGGCACTTAAAGAAACTCTTCAAGGCCGTTTCTAGGTGCGCAACTCACTTGAAAACGGCCCCTCCCGTGGAGCTTTTATCAGCCACATTGTGCTGGAAGGTGACTCGGCGCGCAGCGAATTGGCAGGCGCCCACGTGCACGCCGTTGAGCGCGTGCTGCACCACCAGGTTCTCCAGCGCGATACCGCACGCGAAGTTACCCGAGAATATGCGAAACTTCTTGTTTCCGTCGACGATGCAGCTGAGGGGAGGGAACGGGGGAGAAGGACAGCGAGGGTGTGGGGAAAGCGGTCAATTGAGGAAACCGGCGTGGGGGAAAAGGAAAGGTTGGGTGAGGAAGCGGGCAGGGAAGTCACGACCAAGTAAGTACCGTTCATGAATGGTACAATCATAGATGTTGACAATTGCACGCACTTGACGTGGTAAGAACAATCAGAGGAGCGTAGACCACGCATATTCGCTTAGAAATCACCTTGGCGTAGCAGAATGGGACATCCAGGGAGCATATGTCACTACTCACACTTTTTCTGCTCTCGCAGTCGCCCTTCAAAATGATTCCGGAAGCGAACCCGATGGCAGGGAACCCACTGCGCGGAGCAAGCGTGGCGGAAGGAGGGGACACGTACGCGAGGAACGAGGTGAGGTTACCATGTAACAGAGCTTGGGCGAGAACCGGCTTCTGGACTCTCACTGAGGTTCTACTGTGTTGGTGCTGAGATATTCTAAGGTACAATGGCGCACTGGCATGGTAGATATTGCATTGACGGAGATAGCTTTGAAGTGAATGCTTGCCTGGTAAGCGTGACGTCACTCTTGAGCGTCACCTCCACCATGGCTGTCTGTCAATAGCGGAGAATGCGGGTATGGGCGTAAGATGGAACGCAGTTAATTCTGGGATGACTCAGGGTATGGGGGTAAGATGGTGGGATGCCAGTCAGAATGTTGTCGAACCAGCGGCGAAAGGAATACCCAACGGGATTTACGGACTGGCACTGTAATGCTGAAACGTCAGAATTGAAAAGCCAGCACTGACATGCTGAAGGTCATTATTATTCGTGGTTTTACTTTGGAGCCTGCTTGAGCTATCGCGCTCCGAATGGTCGACTCCGCGTTGCTGCCGCTCGCGGTGACGAAGATAGTCGGCTTCTTGATGAAATTTGACGAGCCCTGCGACAGAATCCGTCGCTGACCCTGTCGCTCATTTCCTGCACATGTTCGCACGATAATTAGAATGTTACGATGAGTACTTCACAATCTTAGCTGCGAGAACCATCTGAGAAGCACCTGAAAGAATGAAGCAACAATGTATCAGAATTGCAACAATTCGTATGAACCATTGCCGCTGGATCTCACCTAGAGATTGGAGAGCTTCAGCTTCGCGAGAGCAGACAATCAGAAGAACTGCTACGAACAGAAACGACGCAACTCCCCGCATCTTATTAATGTGTCTTATTGATAACTGATGAGCAGCCTTGTTAGTGTTGAAGCAGCGCTTCAGCCGTAAGTGCTACTGCTAGCACTTCCTCGTCGAGTGCTCGTTTGACGCAGCGTCCCGCAGCATAAAGAGCTTCAGGCAAGCGAAATGCGCAACAGATCGCAGAGCGTCAGGCTTCGGTGAAATGCAACGAGGTGCAGGAAGATGCTGAAGAAATGAGATACGCCTGCTGAGAATGAGGGGAAGAGGCAACTGATAAGAACGACTGCTCCCGCTAGGCAGTAATGAGCATGTAACTGGGACTTGGATCTGAGTTGTTCAGATTGGGTAAGCACAATAACAGGCCTAGTAGTAGTTCCAAGTGCACGAGATTCGTCAACTCTCAGTTCAAAGCTTATTTTCTATGGCACCCTTCTTCTCCCTGTGCTCGGACGGATTAATTGGTGCGCTGTGACACACGCCATTATTGGTCGATCAGCCGGGTACTATACCGCTGCGATTCCATTCCAAGCACTTACCAGAGGACAATAATTGCTCGCAGCAATATGGATTGCGAAGCTAGCAACTCCTGTACAATTGGTCTCAACACTCCTTACTTCCATTTTCGTTTATCACCGCTTTAGACCATTGCGAACCAGATTGAACCTCCCCAAGTCCCTTGTTTATCACCGCTTTTCGTTTATCACCGCTTTTGACCATCATGCCCTGAGATGCAATTCTTCGATATTGGTTTCACCTTGATGTTAGGGGGAGGCAGGTACGGCGCCCACCGTTGGATGGGAGTTGCCTAGCCGTGTCTTGCGGCGAGATTGCTCTGCCTCGAGAAATGTTGGGGGAGGACATGAATAACATGACACGCAGCCGCGCAGGGGTGAACGAACCGACTCGGTTCGGCAGCCGTCAGGCACGACGGTTGACGGCGGACGTGTACTTGACGAAAAATGGTACACCCTCTTTCTCGATAGACTGGCATACGTTTGACTGACCGGGACGCCTAGTGTAACCGCAACGGACCAAAGAAGGTCCTATCACATGCGTTACAGTGACAATTTGACCCAAGACGGTCAGTCAGGGTTTCAAACTTTATGAAATGGTACTGTCGTTTTCAAAACGGTTGGGACGGATATTCAGCGTTAACGGTTTTTCACTGCCCAAAGCTTGTTTCGTCACCTCGTGCGACTTTGCCCGCAACCGACTTATCTCACCAGCCCGCTACGACCAAACACTCTAGCCAGTGCTTCCGCCGGTGAGATAGGTGAGAAAGAGGGTGTACCTGACCAAACGGCGATTTTCCATTCAAGTTTATGCGCGAGAAATGAATTGTCTCTCACACAATGCCCAGCACCACGACATATTCTCCCTCCCTAAACATCCGCGACGGGCAGGGCAGCTAACAATCCGAAAAATGTTACTTTCACATCGAATCGGGGCGCCCTACGCTCTGCAGCTGCGAAATTTGAGGTGCGACTATTTTCGTGCAGTGGTAAAGAGTTGTCTGTAACAGAATTTGTGAGTCAAATACTGTAATGAATACGAATTCATTACTGAAGAGGCTGCTCCTAGCGAGGACAACCCCGAGCACTTCGCGTCAGTTTCGAGGTTCGGCCTACACTTCGGCCCGAACCACTTCCGAGTCGCCCCGCACCAATCGCGACACTTCCAACCCATCCACGTCCCGAGGTCCTCGCCTACCACAGTTTCGACCCTATAAATGCATGCCTCTTTATCATTCTCGTGATTCTGGAATTCTGATCCTTTTTATAAAATCTTCCGCGCACTCTTCTTAGTACAACTCATAACACTTGGTATCAGAGCCTAAGTTCCTAGGTTCCCCGTTTTTTAGAGTGTATTACCCCTCGGGGGGGGGGGGGGAACAGGGAAGGATGCCGTAGTGACAGGAGCAGCGCAGTAGCCGGCCAGGAGAACGGATAGTTTCTCCTAGCGGCCATGTTTTTACGGGCGCTCCTGCTGCACCGTCGGATCCTTGCCCTCGACGGTCAAGATCGACCGTGGCCTCCCTCCCCCCAGGTGGTGGGCAGCTGTGGTTGTCGCACATTAATTACGTGAGTCGTTTTCGTCAATTCCGTTAATCTCTGCACTGTTTATTATGCGGCAGTTGGCGTCAGGCAGAATATCGTCACTGCATGCGCGAGATTTTCGGAGCAACTGTTGTGCGAGTTGGCGACGGCACGTGGTCGTCAATTGCGCACGACAAGGTCGGAGCTAATGCGTGTGGCAAGTGGCGTCGGACGATTTCGTCACGTTGCGCACGAGATTTTCGGACGTCTTCGGCAAGTGACATGCGGCGTCACTGTGCGCGAAGATTTCGGGTGGCTTCACGGCAGAAACGACAGCTGGCCGGGCAGGCCAGGCGCATGGTGATTTGCGTCGGAAAATGCAACGAGAGACGGCGTGGCGACTGCCCGAAGAAAGCGGGGGTCTACCGTCGTCCCGCCCGGGTGTGGCCGGTGTGGCTGCAGGAGGGTGCGTCGTTGGCGTTTTCGGCAGAGCGGCACAGTGTGGGACGGAAGTTGTTTTTCAACCCACCGAAAAGTTCGGGAAAAACCGCCTACGACTAGACTGCCTATCGCTAGGGTCACTGCTGTACCTGCACTACGATCGGCGAAAATTTCGGAGCAACAGCAACGGCCGACATTTGTGCTTCAGGCGGCACAGCACCCCCTGATCAAGGGTAGTTGCGCCGCAGACAGGACAGTACACCGGCGGGGCAACGATTCGGCGCAGTGTTTAGACCCGCGATTTTCGGGGGTTCTACCGGCTACAATACACGGAGTTGCGTCGAGTTCGGGTCCAGCGAGAGAAACGGGTTTCGAGCTTCAGGAGGCGAGAATTACGACCCACGGGGAAACGCTCAAGCTGATGCCTAAACGTTTGCGGCTAAGCGGCGGTAGCCGGATGGGTGCCACTACCGGCCGAGGTTTCCGAACGTTTCACATACCTCACGCCCAGAAGGCCTTGAAGGCAAAGTGTAAGTCCTATTGGCCACTGGATCCAAAGGTGGGGCCCTGTGTTTAGCCCTGTGCTGGCTAAAAAGCGCGGGTATTGCGCCAGTTCGACAGCTGGTCGTAAAGAAAACTTCATGGTGCGACACTGTTTTGGCCCCGACAAACCCGGACCATCGGCAGCAGCAACCCCGCCGAAAAAGTCGGAGCTGAAGATTTTTGTGCAGCTGTCGGGAATTCCCTCAATTCTACGGTCTACCCAGCAGCGGTGTAGCGGCGAAGACGGGGTCTCCGAAGCTGTGAATTGTTTAAGCGCGATAGACGCGGTGGGCAACGAAGCGGCCGGTCCGACTGTTTGATCCGATAAACATGACCCGGCTACGATAGCGTTCGCGCCTTCACCGAATGTCAGAAAAATCGCGGGCAACACGGAGTTATGCCTCATCCGACAAAAGCGGGCGCTGGGTGAACGGCGGCAAGCGAAATTGTCGGGGGGTGAAGAAAGAAAAAAAAAAAACAAACAAATGGAGGGAAATTTGTGGGTGCTCCAGCAGATCTCCAGAGTGAAAGGTTGAGCCCGTACACCAATCCACCGCGAATTTCGGAGTCTATTCGGTAGACCCCCGAAAGGGTTTAATATTGTTACATGGAGGCGCGGCGAGCGGTGTATCGCCAAGGATACCTGGGATTCGCTAAGTAATTTCGACGGGTACGAAGACGGGTGAACGTCGGAGTACTAGGGTCAACGGCGGAAACGTCGGGGTTGTGCGGCGGAAAATACTTCGGGACTGCTTCAACAACCATGATTTTCGGGTGCAATTTCGACTGTGGGAGACGGGTGAACGTCTGCCCGCCAGCTGTTTCAACGGTTTACGGTGTACTTCGAAGCCATCTGGGGAAATTCTTCGGCGAGATCTGCGGCGTTGATGCGGGCTAGGTTCCGTGAAATTCGGTCCCGGTAGACCCATGACTCTGGGTTCCGCACGAAAGAGCACCTCCTGTTGGTGGGTTGCTAGTGTGGTTAACCATGGAGAGAAAAATGGCGACGGGTGGGCACGCTAGATACACCATTTCTTCAAAGGGATAACCTGCAGATG